AAATAAATAGGTCTACGTGAATGCACACAAATGCTAGTTTATACTAGTTTAGATACTACAAAAAAATTTTTTTTTTTTTTTTGCCTAGACAAGGAAAATATATGCCTTTAGAGGAAAGATCCAGCAATTCTCCTTTAAGGGGTCAAACTGAGCATCACTGAAAATGGGACAATTTGACACCAGGTGCTTCCTGTTACGGTGAGATATATAATTGCTCATCAGTGGAGAAATTCTTGTCTAAAAGAAATATTTACACTGAATACAGTCAAGCCTTTGGAATGATCTCCCAATTTAAATATTATATATATATATATATATAATAGAAATAAGTCAAACGTTGCCACTAGAAAACAACTGGACTAGTCCAGAATGAGAACCCATCTAAAAGACAACCGGCCCTGTCTCTTTAAAAGGTCAAAAAATAAAAATAAAAAAAAAAATTTTTTAAAAATTGAGGAAGTGTGGGGAGGAAGCCAAGAGACATAAGCAATTCGATTATTGTACATCGATCAGGTGATCAGATCTAAAACTGGCTATAAAACACACTTTGGGAACATTTAAGGAAACCTTGATTCTGAGCTAGGCGTTGCACGACAGCAGACAATAATTATCCATTTTCTCATGCAGGGTAGTGCTGACGTTACGTAGGAGAATGTGCTTATCCTTAGGAGATGCAGGTGGAATATTTAGAGGGGGAAAAAATCTATAAAGCTGCTTTCAAATGGAAAACTCAACCCTACAGACAAACCACCCCCCCACACCCCAATATACTTGAGATGTGAAGTCAACTTAGACAAACGTCAGCAACTGTTTAGTCTTCGCTGTGACTGTGTCGGTCTTCATTGCACCGCTCTGAATTTTTCCCAAACCCTAAAGGTTTCTATAAATAAAAAGGTCAGGAGAGTTGCGCAGAAAATTCGATGCACTTAGCGCCACTGAATCCCGCACTTAACACGGTTAAAACGGTACGTTTTACTGTCGTGTCGGTTTTACTGAAATTTTTAAAAAGCCGGAGGAACTCTTACACGAAGAGTGACCCTGCCTTAGCCGCGCCTGGCGTTGTCCATAAACCGGAGGTTGTGTCAGATCTCTAATTATCCACTTAGGGTTTACCCAGATGCATAATGTTCAAGGAAGCACATTCTGGGCGATTCTAAGATAGAGGCTGCCACAGGGCTCCTCTGTAATTCCGACTTTTCCTTCCAAAGCAATGGTACAAACAAGAGTCTAAAAGAAATTCTATCGTTGGATGATGCAGGCAGATGTCTCAGCAAGAATCTGGTAGGGACTGTTCGTCCTGGTGTATCTGGGTTTAATTTAGGACGGTGGATAGACAGCTTTGGGGGACCTCTTTTTCCATTTTCGAGTTTTCTTGGCAGATGGCTCTTAGTATTTAGGTTTTTGGTTTTTTTTTTTGCAGGGGGGGGGTGAGGAGAAGCTAACGTGAGTTAAGTCTCGGAGAAAAATAAATAAATTTATCTGCAGAAGAATTCCAAGTAGATATTACGAAAATTACGTGAACTGCACAGCTCGGAGGATGTGCACAGATGCTAAAACTGTCCCGGGACATAGCTGAGGTCCAGCAAGCCGGGGACGATTTTTCCCGAAAGACGTTTTAGGCTGAAGCCATAATTATAGGCCACACTTTTGGGGTCTGTTTGGAGCTTTTCCGCACACAGAGCTGCGGGACGCCGAAATTCTTAACTCGCGGGGACTGAAAATGAAAGGCTGGTCGGGTACAAAGAAGGGCTGGGCCCTGCCAAACCCGGTGCCCCGGAGGAAGTGGCCAGGGTGGGGTACGGGACGGCCCAAATACCCTAGCCCTAACCCTGGAGACAGCCAGGGTGCTCAGAGCCCTGCTCAAGGCCCAGCAAAAACAACCCCAAATTAGGTCTCGTGGAGTGAGACACACACCTGCAAAGGAAATATACAGCCTGACAGAAGCCAGACCAAAATTGGCCTCTTTGCATAGAATAATGCATTGACCAAAAAAAAAAAAAAAAAAAAAGATAAAAAAAATATATAGTGCAACCTCTCGTCTGGCTTCGATCTCTCTGGTTAGCATGTTGTCTCCTTTGTGAACTTTGAGAGCAGGCACATGCATGCTCTAGGTCAGTGCATCGAGGTAAAATGCGAAAAGAGGTCCTGAACCCGAGGTGTACAAAAGCAGTGAATCGCATAACGCGATTCACGGCTTACCGGAAGCAACAACGTTCCCTCCACGGAGAACTAAAACCAGCACGCCAAACAAGGGAAAGGCAATAGAATAGACACGCCTTATGAACCTTTAACTTTAAATCTGACTGCAGCCTTCCTAATCAGACTGAGTCGGACACTACATATCCAAGCTGGCAGTACCCAGCTCAGCCTTCTCGGTGCGGTCTTGAACGAGAGCAGCTCTCGCAGAGCCACACCTGCTGGCCCTTGATCTGATTCAGTCACATACTCAAATAGTCTCGTTGTTACAATGACCCAGCTATGGCATCTTGCTATAACCTCACAAAGAAGAAGCCAAACCTGCAATGAGCACGTTGAGCGATCGTTTAAAATCGCAATTCGCAACAGCCTGGAGTAGACCTGAGACCTCTTTTTTTTTTAGCGAGTCTCGCTCTGTTCCCCGGCTAGAGTGAGTGCGTGCGTACCTCGGCCAAGCAACTCCCACCTCCTGGCCAAGCGATCCTCCCTCGCTCAGCCTCCTCCGAGTGAGCTGGACTATGACAGGCAAGCGCCGCCACGCCGTATTTTTTTCTATATATACGTTATTGGCACTCTAATTCTTCTATTTATAGTAGAGCCGGGGTCTCGCTCTTGTCAGGCCTGTCTTGACTCCTGACCATCGAGCGACCTTCTCCGCCTCCGCTCCCAGAGCGCTGGGATGACAGGCGTGAGCCTCTGAGCCCGGCCAAACCTGAGACTTCTTACTGGCTCACGGGCCAAACTGTAAAGCGAGGTGCCGGGTGGTTGTGACCAGTCTCCTTCAATCTGTCTGCTTTTCCACCCGAAGCATCTCTGCCCCTCTCTTCCAAAGTCAGCAAATACGATGGCCTGCTGAAGAGACTAAACCGACACCCTCCCGATTAGTGGCCACGTCAAATCTTAGAAAAGCACGGGTAACTTTAAAAATAGGCGAGATTTTTTTTTTATATATATCGTTTTTTATACATATCGTTTTTATATATATCGTTTTTTTATATATATTGTTTGCAGAAGCGCTGTGTCCATTGGCTGCCCTTTGTCTCCTTTTAAGCTTGAGAAACTGCCAATATGTTGCCAGAATGCTTTCATAAGAACCCACTTAAGCACGGGATAAGTGCTCATGACTCTAACTTCAGGGGGTTTGGAACGCCGAGCGTTTTAATAAAACAGACGGCGGGAAATCTGACGGTAATACCTTCCCAAGCGTTAGTGTTTCAGGCCATCCTCTGGCCAAGGGTATGAATATTGCATGGGAGCTCTAAAGAGAAGCACAAAGAGAAACCCTTCATTTCCTCCTGGCCATCCTGGCTGGGAGATGAGCAGAGCTGTACGGGCAGACCTGGGATCTCTGCTCCACAAGTACGAGCGTTTTGGAGTTGAGCAGCGGGTCAGGATGTTTAAGAACATCCCGACCTTTCTCACCACCGTGTGTCCTGCGAGCTTTGGCAAGCGGTTTTTACGCTTTATTTTCTCCTCTCTCCAAGGGTGAGAATAACGCTTGCTGTGCCTACCTCCCGAAGTTGTCGGAGAAGAGTGTGCAGGAACTTGGTAAGCTGTATACACCACGCTATGCACTTGCAAGTCATGCAATAATTAATTACGTTGAGGAGAAGGTACTGAATCTTGGAAACGGAGTCAAGAAGGAACCTGAACAGACAAGATGACCAAGTTCTCAGGCCCTTTCCCCTGCTGCGCTTCATGACAGCAGGCCTGTGTTACCACGTTTGCATTTTCCGCTGCAAAAAATGCAAGACAGGGTTCTCATCGCAGAATGACAACGTTTCTAGGCCGGGCGCGGTGGCTCACGCCTGTCATCCCAGCACCTCTGGAAGGCCGAGGCGGGAGGATTGCTAGAGGTCAGGAGTTCGAGACCAGCCTGAGCAAGAGTGAGACCCCTGTCTCTACTAAAAATGAGAAGAAATTAATTGGCCAACTAAAAATGTATTAGAAAAATGAGCGCGGGCATGGTGGCGCATGCCTGTAGTCCCAGCTACTCGGGTGGGAGGCTGAGGCAGGAGGATCGCTTGAGCCCAGGAGTCTGAGGGTTGCTGTGAGCGAGGCTGACGCCACGGCACTCACTCTAGCCTGGGCGACAGAGCAAGACTATGTCTCAAAAAAAAAAAAAAAGAATAACGGGTGTGAAGGAATCCTAAACAGCACAGAGAGGAGGGAAACGAGAGAGGGAGCTGGTCAGAGGCCAGCACCTTGGGCTGGTGGCCAAAGAGAATGGGGTGGACAGCTTGCTGGACAACCCGCTTTTTGGGACGTCTACGCAGACCAAGTCCCAAGGGGTCCGGGAGCCTCAGGAGGGTGACAATTTCAGGCTCTGCTTATCATTTAAAAGGAATGCGACCCGAGAATGTATTTATCTCGCCTCTCAAGAATCTCCTTTCTCGGGCTGTTAAAAGAAAAATAAAGCACCTGGGCCACTTCCCCGTCTCTGGCATTTACGTCCAATCCCCAATCAGTTTTAGGATATTCCCGCTAGATAGGCATTGCTAGCATTTTAGGCACCGTGTAGACCAGGCGTCCCCAAACTACGGCCCCCGAGGGCCACAATGCGGCCTGCCTAGGACATTTATCCGGCCCCGCCGCTGGGTGTTTTTGTCCCCGCCGCTGCCTGTCCTGCTTAGCAGCCGACGCGTCCTGGGCCCGCAGTGCGCACCCTCCAACGGTCTGGGGGACGGTGAGCTGGCCCACCCCTCTGCTTAAAAAGTTTGAGGACCCCTGGTGTGTAGACCACAGAATAAAAACGCCCCCGTCCCCTGCCCCTAAGGGCGCGAGAATTCCGCGTCAGCGCTCACCTGAGATCGGTGGTCCTCGGGAGGATCCTGCTCTTCCCGCTGAAGTAGACTTCGAAGTCCTCTATCTTCAGCCTGTGGGCGTAGTCGATGTACCCCGAGATCTCCTGCCCGTGAGAATTCCTGTCCCGGATGAAGATCACGGACTGGCGGCACGGAAGAGACAGAGAATGGAGAGAGCGAATGGAGAGAGGTCGCTTGAGCCAATTGCATGCAGCAATCAAAGCGACAATCAGCTGCTGAGGTTTGCAGACCCCCCCCCCAAGTGCTCAGGAGGTACAACTGATTTCTCCTCCAACAGGCAAAGAAATTCAGCAAAAGCTAAGCGAGCATGCATGCAACAACGTGCATCCACAGTGATTTCTGTCTAGCAGTCTCAGTAAACAACTCCCAAGAGTGGGAGCCTCAGGAGGGTGACAATTCAGGCTCTGCTTATCATTCAAAAGGAATGCGACCCGAGAATGTATTTTATCTCGCCTCTCAAGAATCTCCTTTTCTCGGGCTGTTAAAAGAAAATAAAGCACCTGGGCCACTTCCCCGTCTCTGGCATTTCGTCCAATCCCCAATCAGTTTAGATATTCCCGCTAGATAGGCATTGCTAGCATTTTAGCGCACGTGTAGACCAGGCGTCCCAAACTACGGCCCCCGAGGGCCACAATGCGGCCCTGCCTAGGACATTTATCCGGCCCCGCCGCTGGGTGTTTTTGTCCGCCGCTGCCTGTCCTGCTTAGCAGCCGACGCGTCCTGGGCCCGCAGTGCGCACCCTGCCAAGGTCTGGGGGACGGTGAGCTGGCCCACCCTCGCTTAAAAGTTTGAGACCCCTGGTGTGTAGACCACAGAATAAAACGCCCCCGTCCCTGCCCCTAAGGGGCGAGGAATTCCGCGTCAGCGCTCACCTGAGATCGGTGGTCCTCGGGGATCCTGCTCGTTCCCGCTGAAGTAGACTTCGAAGTCCTCTATCTTCAGCCTGGGGCGAGTCGATGTACCCGAGATCTCCTGCCGTGAGAATTCCTGTCCCGGATGAAGATCACGGACTGGCGGCACGGAAGAGACAGAGAATGGAGAGAGCGAATGGAGAGAGGTCGCTTGAGCCAATTGCATGCAGCAATCAAAGCGACAATCAGCTGCTGAGGTTTGCAGACCCCCCCCCCCAAGTGCTCAGGAGGTACAACTGATTTTCCTCCAACAGGCAAAGAAATTCCAGCAAAGCTAAGCGAGCATGCATGCAACAACGTGCATCCACAGTGATTTCTGTCTAGCAGTCTCAGTAAACAACTCCCACAGAGTTCTTTGTGAGGCTGGACGTTATTTTAAGTACTTGGAGCAGAGTGATTTATTGCTTTCCCTTCCATCCTATTGTCTTCTTTTTTTTTTTATTAGATAACCTTTTTATTTGTTTTTTGTTTGCTTTTTGTTATTGTTGTATTTCTGTTATTGTGTCTTTGTTATTTTGTTATATTGTATTTTGTTATTTTGTATTTTTGTTATTGTTATTATTGTTTGTTTGTTTTTTATTTGTTATTTGTTTGTTTTCTGAGACAGAGTCTCGATTTGTTGCCCAGGCTAGAGTGAGTGCCGTGGCGTCAGCCTCGCTCACAGCAACCTCAGACTCCTGGGCTCAAGCGATCCTCCTGCTTCAGCCTCCCGAGTAGCTGGGACTACAGGCATGCGCCACCACGCCCAGCTAATTTTTTCTATATATAGTTGTGCCAATTAATTTCTTTCTATTTATAGTAGAGATGGTTCTCGCTCTTGCTCAGGCTGGTCTTGAACTCTGACCTTGAGCAATCCGCCCGCCTCGGCTCTTAGAGTGCTAGGATTACGGAGTGAGCCACCGTGCCCGGCCTAGATAAGTTTCTTATTTCAGCATATTGTGGGTACAATTTTAAGGTTTCGAATAATGCCCTTGCCCCCCTCCCCCTCGAGTCAGAGCCTCAAGCGTGCCCATCCCCGAGCGCTGCACGTCTCACTCGTCGTGTCTGTCTACACCCGTCCCCTCCTCCCCTCCACCTGCCCGACACCCGATAGATGTCACTCCTGTGTGTCCATTAGGTGCTGATCGTCAACACCAGTTTTGCTGTGAGCGCACGTGGTGCTTGTGTTTCCATTCTTGGAC